CAAGGATGGGCTTGACAGGACCTTATGCTGTTGCATCCATCCATCTTCCTCCATATAAACACAACACATAATGATTGGGAGACCTACTCGGGCGTTGCCTCATCCATTTCTACTCCTGGGAGATTTTAATGGTTGGCATCACCTCAGGGGAGACACTTTATGCAACCATTGAGGAAGGTCCTTAAAATCCTTGTTCTCAAGAGTAGATGCAGTTTTTCAAAACAGTGACACTTACACACTTCCAATACTGTGACATTCTCCATTACTGACCTGTCAGTTGGTTCATCTGGTGCGTTAGATTTCGCTTGGCTGGTCATGGAAGGATCACTTTCCAATACTTGTGGAGGAGGTGTACGGCATTCCAGCCAATTGGCTGAGAGATGGTGAGGTAGTAGTAGTAAAAGGTGTAAAGGAACAGTTAGAGGGAGTGGTATTGAGTGAGGTGGTACTGCAAAGATGTGGACAATAAGGGCGAAGAAAAGTAATAAGGGAGGAGGGGGTAGAAAATGTAGAAGATTGTGGAGAAGATGGAGTGTTGGGGAGATGCAAGAATGTTTTCTGAAAATTGACCAGTGACCTGGGTGGGTGACTTGGAATGGACTGAAGTGAAAGCATGTATTGAGGAGGGATAGTAGTAACAGCATACAGTCATGATCAAAGGAGGGGTCAGGTAACTGGAAAAGTTAAAGCCTGTTGGGATAGTTGACAAAGGGGCAAGCCTTAGTCCCCCTAATATGGATATAAAATCTTCAATATTGGCCATGGTAAGGCTGGAGTATGTGGGGAAGGGAAATGGTTTACCCTTCAGGGTCCACATCAGGGGCAAGGGCTAGACAATTGAACAGGGATTACCATGCCCATGGCTCCCCAAGGCCATTCAGGACTGACCCAAAGTCAGCCTTTTATCCTTATCTACATAGTCCTCACCTTCAGAAAAGGATAGAAGGGGATGGAGATGAAAAGGGAAAAAAAAAAGACTGCAAAATTGGCTGAGCTGAGGACTAAGGTCCAACATAGTAGCAATCCCCACATGGCCACAGCTCCCATCTCTTGTGCCCACGATAACAGTGGGCATGGACTGGGGAGGTTGAAAAAAGAGGAGAGGTATAGGAAAACTCACCACTGCATTTACTGATATATTTAACCATAGAGCTTCTCACTGTTTTACAGATACACACACATATACATATATATGTATATATATATACATATATAAGTATGAAGAATATGAGTCCCAATTAGTAAATAGGGTTGTGTCAAGAACTCTGGGTATAAAAATGTACATTCACTCGACACCCTATTTCCACTTTTAATATCCTCAGATGCTATAATGATGATGATCTTTACATCTATATAAATATTTTAATGAAGACAGGATTTTACAAATACAGGTGATGATGATGATAATGATAATGATGATGATTTGGATGATAATAAAAATAATAACAATAAAAATACTAATAAAATAATAATAATAATAATAATAATAACAACATTATTAATTATCCCCAATAAAAAAGTTCAAATATATTCAAAAATAATAAAATAATTACTATTATGTCTAACTTAAAGGTTGAAAGATGACTAGTTAATTCTGAGATTATTCCATATCAATCAAATGTCTCTTATGCCTGAAATCGAATGAAAAAAAGTCTTAGAAAAAGAAGGAAAATGTGCATCCCCTGAAAAAAATCAATATAAAAAAAAAAGTATCATCATGCTGAAATTTTATAATTGTGCCTTGTGACTGAATATTTCCTTGTCTTTACCCAATATTAGTTGCTGAAAAATATATGGATGAATAATTCCCAAGAAATTCTACCCAATAAAATGACAAAAATTTCCTAGTGCTGACCCCCAAAACAATCTTGAAAGGAAAAAAAATTATAGCGACCAGCATTCCCTTTATCCTACGGCTGTGCAATCACCACTATGCTGTACAAGGACATAGCAAAACGTTAACATAATTACGCATTTCTTTCACACCTACACGACAGCTTCTCCCTCTTTCAAACACTGTCAAGATAAACCTATTTCACATGCATGGTAGGAAACCGAGACAAATAACAGCTACAGACCAGAGTGCGACTGTGAAAGAAGAAGAGAAAAAAAATCCTTCCCAACATATTGCAAAATCCACAAAACAGTACACACTTTCATCATTGCTCATCCTGTTATAGAATAATTATTAACATGACATTTGCATTCCTGAGGTCAACTTCTTTTTATTGATATGATTATAAGTCACACTTGACAATTGTAAAGAATTACATCAAAAATAAAATCTCCAGCCATATGACTGATCACAATAAGCAAAATCTCAATAATGATATAGATAAAGATTATAAAAAAGTTCATCACCACAAAATCAAAATAGACGAAAATACTAAAGCATCAATAATGAACATAATAATAATAATTAAAGTTATAATACAATAATATCAAACTAATAATGAAAAGAATATTTCTGGTAGTCATAATGGCAGTACTACTACTTATTATTATATAACTACAATATCAACTATAATAATAATAATAATTGCACAAACACTTATAATAACAATAACTATAAAAAAATCATAAATAAAGATAGAAATATAATTAAGTATAAAAACACTAACTGTATTAAATAGTGATAATCTTATAATGCTTACTATTATTACCCTCATAATTATACTGATAATATCTATAATATTAACAATAATAGTAATAGCAATGATTACAGTAATGTTTGATAAAAATAATGATGGTAATACTAAGAATAACTGTAAAAGTAATAATGATGACAACAATGTTAATTAATGATGGTGGTGACAATGACAATGACATCAATAATAATAAATGATAATAATTATAATCATGATAATGAAAATGATAATGATGGTGATATAATAATAATGATAATGGTAATAATAATAATAATGGTAATAATAACAATAATAATAATAGCTATAACAATGTTCAATATCAAATAATAATAGCAATACTATGATAGTGATTACAACAATTACAATGAAATAGTGAATACAAATAATAGTTAAAAAATGATGATATCAATTATAATAGCAAAGAACAATTATTACTATTATCATGATTATTATATCATTGTTATAATTACTGTTAATAATATTATTACCATTGATATTCTTTTCTATTATTATCATATTATTAGCAACATTTATTATAATGCAATATTTCAATAATGATAACAATAATAATAATATAAAAAAATAATAAGAAATAAAAATAAAAATAATAGTAATAATAATAATAATAATAATAACCTATCAGTTATTAATAATGATAATGACAATAATAGTTATAGAATTAATAATAATGATGATATAATCATCATCATTGTAATAATAACACTGATGACAATGACGATGATGATGATAATGATAGAATTATAGAAAAAGAAAGAGAAAAAGGGCAACAAATGAACCAATTCCTCACAAAATTAGGCCACTGTAACACTGCCTCAAGTTAGTTCATCACATGTACCCATCTACTGAGTAATTTCCTATTATGGTAAAGCATTGTGACAATTTGTATGCAGCAGTGAAATGTAATGGAAAAAAGGTCAAAACATCAACCTTTGGATTAGGGCATATATGAGATTCTGGAAGCAGTTTTGCCTTTGCAGTGTTATTCGTGCATGCAAAACATGCCGCCGATAAAAGCTAGTCCAAATATATTACGAATCAAGGAAATAAACATCACAGATAACTTGCACCTATCTTAAATCTTGACTGATTTTTAAAACCCATTGTTTCTTTGCTTAGAAAGGGAAGGGAAGGAAGGGGAGAGGAAGGGAAGGACAGAGGGGGAGAGAGGAGAAGGGAGGGGGAGAGGGAGAAGAGAGGGGGAGGGGGAGAGGGAAGAGAGAGAGGGGGAGGGGGGAGAGGGGGGAGAGAGGGGGAGGGGGAGAGGGGAGAGGGGGAGAGAGGGGGGAGAGGGAGAGAGGGAGAGAGGGAGAGAGGGAGAGAGAGGGAGAGAGGAGAGAGAGAGGGAGAGAGAGAGAGGGAGAGAGGGAGAGAGAGAGAGAGAGAGAGAGAGAGAGAGGAGAGAGAGAGAGAGAGAGAGAGAGAGAGAGGGAGAGAGAGAGAGAGAGAGAGAGAGAGAGGGAGAGGGGGGAGAGAGAGAGAGAGAGAGAGATATGACCTTGAACTGTTACACATACAATCATTCCTGCAGAGTTAATATTACTCACACAAATGTACGCTGGGAAAGGTTCAATTATCAGTGTCTGAGGTGATTACCTGTCATATATATGAAAAAACAACCTCTCACTAAAATTTTTCTAACTGCAACCAACCATAGAAGTTATCACCATGGCCAGGCAGAAGACTTTAAACATGTTAAGAGCATTAAATGTGTTGATACAGCTGAAATTTATGTAAAGTGCTCTTGATTTACACTAATAGGCAATATGTACACAAACATTAATGTTATAAACCTTCAAAGCTTTTAGAATATGAACATACTAATAAATAAATAAATATACAATAAGTAACAAACCAAAATAATGGAAAGAAACAAAAGCATCTATATATACAGTAGTTACAAAACAAATAAAAAAAGGATAATCCAATAAATCAATCATTTAAAACCATATACCCACTCTTTCACTATCACAAAGAGATTTATCAATCTACTGATATTTTCATCAATCTCCACACTCACGTAGCTTTCCAAGGCTTCCTCGCATCTCAGAACTAACTATACACCTTATAGGACGGCTTCATATGAAAACACTACATTTGACAGCACAGTGTCAACAAATAAACCAGCTTTACTTGCCTAATAACACTATTTTAGCCCTTTAAAAAATAATCAAACATATGTTCTCATGATGAACACTGAATTATCATACTATTAAAGCTACATAAATATGAAGAAAAAAGATAAAAAGCAGGGTGCAAAAGAAAAATAAATCAGTGGCTAAATAAATATAAAGAAATAAAGAGAAAAGAAGGGTCACAAAAAGGAGGAAAAACTATTCAACTGGTTAACATATATTTTCCAAATCCTAAACATATCCTCCAAAACAAAAACAAACATAAAAAACAACAACCGTTTCTTTTCTTTTTCTTTAATTCCCTGTTCAAGGTTTCTAGCATTCTATAGTCTATGCTGAACTCTCCTGTCCTGACTATGACATCCATGCTTCACACTCCTAATTGAACTCACCAACCTGGGAGAATGGTGATCATAATTACTTTACAACATAAATCCCTATCCATATTGTGACATGCTAGAGAAAAACAAATTCCTCAGAATCCTGAGGAAGGAGCGGAGTGTCCCGTGGTAATGAAGCTGCCATTTGGTCCTCAGTGGACACTTGGCGTGTGCAGGCATCTGTGTCTTCGCAACGGCCATCCACAAACTCAAATATAGGATAGTCGAATCCTGGTTGTTTGGGAGTTAAAATCTGAAAAGTCAGAACGTGCTAGATATTAAACTGGTGCCTCCTACAAGTAGTTTTTAAAATAAAAAAAATGTAAGCTCTATAAATTTTGTTATTAATTACCTTAAGAGATGATATGGCGCTTGTGCAAGTAAAATAATTTATTACCATCTGGATAAAGCAAATAAAATGACAAATACAAACATTGAAAAATAGTATAAAACTGCTAAGGCAGACAAAGAAAATAACATTACAAAAGGGGACACACAGAGTCTTGTCACCACACTTTGTCAGAGTGGCTGCTCAAGTAAGCCCCTATTTTGGGCCACATGGCAGGTAGTAAAGCATCCAGATTCAGCCTCATTTCTGATCAGTATACAAGATTTGTTACTAAGAAGATTTCAGGGGACCATCTCACATGGAGGAAGGGTGGGGTGGGGGGGGGGCAAATATTAAAAAAAAAAAAGAAAGAAAGAAAAAAAAAGCTTATACCACAATTACATATTTCTTCGGGCTTCTCTCATGGGGAGTGTTCCCTAACCCCACCCAAAAGCATTTTTCTAAATCTTCCACATGAAAATGATTAATGGTTAATAGTTGAAACAAATAAATGCTAGACATCAAAAGTCATAGAGCACTATGGTAAAGTGTTGTGACGAAAAGGGTAAAGAAGATTTAAAGATTAGGATAAAATGAGTTAGATGTCACAGATTAGAAAGCATTGAAGGATAGCATGGTAGCAAAAAGAGTAAAAAGGGGAGCAACTGAAGTAAAGCATAGGTTAGTAGAAAAAAAGGAAGGGTTAAGGGGGTAGAGTGATTGAATGTAATGGAATGTATCTGTGACTAGGGAAAGAATACGGATATTGTTCAAACAGAGATGGCTGTTGGAGATATAAGAGGAGGAGAGAAAGGGGACTGGGAAGGTGAGGTATCAGGATGAGTGTCAGGAGGAAGGGCACTGTTACGACAGAAGGGATTTATGTGAATTCCGGCGGGAGCAGTAAGGATAATGGGGAATGAAGAAGGGATGGTGCATATAGAGAAGGAGAGGATGAGGTGTTTGGGAGATTGTAGGAGGAAGGGGGATAGGGGTAATTGAGGAGGAGGAGGAGGATAACAGCAAATACTCTAAATGTAGGGCGAAATAGGGAGGGATTGGAGGGTGGATGAGGGAGCAGAGTGATCCCTTGGGTCATCTTTAAAAAGTTTTGGATGTCTTCAAGGGTTTCTGGAGGGGAGTTGGGTGAAGAGGAATGAGAAACGAAGGTTGTTTTGTGAGGAGAAGAGGTGATAGATAGCCAACGAGCAGAGGAAGAGGAGGGTGTAGGAGAGGATGTAATAGGCAAAGGTGGAGTGGAATGTTTTAGGTTGTCTGGTGCGACAGGTAAAGTGAGGAGGAGGGGTAGGCATCGGGGAAGTGGTAGAAATTGGAGTATCTGGATTAAGACTGGAAAAGAACTTTGGGGAGAAGGGGAGTAGAGGTAGGATGGTTTGGGGTAGAAGGGAGGAGATATTAGGGGAGATGCTGAGACATCTTTAGAAGATTGGAGAGGAGCAGAGTAAAGACTGTTTTGAAACAGGTAGAGAGAGAAAAACCTTGTCACCATGCTTCCTGTCTAGTGTGAACTGCTACCTCATTCAAGCACATAGTCAGGGCACCTCCTATAAAATACAGTATGGGAGCCACCACAACTGGCATATGTACATGACTGAGTAGAGCAATTTGAACGGTCATGACCAGGTTGGGTACATAAGAGGGCAGTCGGCTGTGAAGCAACAGTTTTTGGCTGGTTGGCCAAAATGCCAACATTCTGACATTGAAGAGGAAGGGGTCAATATTCATCGGACTGGGCAGGATAATCCACCAATATAAACTTCATGGGGGAGGTCATGTCTATGGAAGCTAATCTTAGCAATACTAGCCTCTTGGAGGAATAGTGTAGTAATGTACTGCCACTACATTATCATCAATAAGGCAGGCAAGTAGGTCATTTTTGCAGTCTGACCAGTTTTTGTTGTAGATAGACAATCACTTGGGGAGACAGAAACAGTTCCAGTATAAATATCAAGAGAAGAGTGAGGTTTGGC